CAATTTCAGAAACATCATTGTTTACACTTCTGTTGATATGTTTCGTTTTGTCATCAGTTTCAGAAACATCGTTATTTACACTTCTGTTGATGAGTTTCGTTTTATCATCAGTTTCAGAAACATCGTTATTTACACTTCTGTTGATATGTTTCATTTTGCCATCAATTTCAGAAACATCATTATTTACACTTTTGTTTATATGTTTAATTTTGTCATCATTTTCAGAAACATCGTTATTTACACTTCTGTTGATATGTTTCATTTTGCCATCAATTTCAGAAACATCATTATTTACACTTTTGTTAATATGTTTCATTTTGTCTTCACGAATATCAACAGCATCACTATTTATAATTTCATTGGCTTCAACAGTTTTATCGTCAGTAATGTCAATCGCATCAAAACAAACCACATTCTTTTGGTCTGCAAGATTAACATCACTGTGTTCAGGGTACATATGGGAGCCATTGCAAATGAGAGTCATTGGTGTATTTGCTTTGGCATATGTGGCAATACTGACTAGGTATCGATCATGTGAGGTCTCAGTAGTTTGTACTTCTGTCTTTAATGAGAACTGGGGTATTTGTGAGTCACTTTTGGAGGTTTGGGGTTCACATGAGTGAGTGTCATATTGTTCTGGTGGATAATATACAGAGGGGGATGCAGGCCATGTAGTACTGACTGACTCAGAATTGGGTCGGTGAGAGACACACTCTCGTCGGTGAATATCGCACGTCGCCAATCACGCATCTACCAACTTCGACTTCGCCTGTACGTGTGTGACATGGCTCAGTATGGTTTTATCACTTCATTCATTTATATTTTTGTGAATTTGTATGCAATATCTTGGGGTATATAGTTTCTTTTGAGCACTATTTTATATAATAACACAGAGATTGATATTAATATATTTATTCTTTACCATAAGTCCAGGTTTATTTTCATGAACTTTTGCGACAGTTGACCGTAATATATTTTTTTTACAGGTTCAGCCGGAAAACTTTTTGTCTGCAGTCCTCTTCTTATCCTACTTCTCTTTCTGTCCAAAGCAGTAAACTAAATCCATTTTGTATTTTGAAGATAATCAGGACATGCCTCATGTACTTGCACAATTTTTGGTCAAGACTACTATTTACACCATACACAGGTATTATATTTTGGATATTGTGCAAACAAACATATCTTATCTTCTCAATTATATACTATAAGCCATTAAAAACGCAATTTGACATTCATACTTTCTTTACTCACACCAATTTCAACACATATAAACCTAACTGGCAGATATGTTTTAAGTGAACATCTGTGAATAATTTCATCTGAAAATGTCCAGTCAACAACAACATCAGTGACGCAACAATGACATCAAACAAAGGAGGGGTCACTTGCAGTCAATATCGTGTGTGTCCACCGTGCGCTGCATTTGGGGCATTGAAAGACACACATTTCTCAGCAACAGCTGTTGGATGGTCTGCAGCCTCTGATGGTCTGTGGTCTGATCACGACACCACCCCCTCCAAAACTATCATGTTCAAGGACACAGTTTGGCGCAAGTCTTTCTCCTTTACGTCGATAAATCTGTGGACGTCCATCTGCAAAGGATAAGTTAAACCTGGATTCATCTGACAAAATGACATCTGGCCATGTCCTGTTGCCAAGATTGGCCCCATTTGCTGCCCATCGCTGTCTGGCAAGTCTGTGGCGATGCAGTAAGGTTGGACCACATTAGGGGTGACGATACCGGATGTTGAAGGCAGCAAGGCGTCCTTGCACCTTTTGGGCGCTGAAATGACGTTGACTTGTCCCAATTGTCCTCCTTGCCTCATCATCAGCTGTTTGGAACCGATTTCGCAAGTGTGAAACTCGGATATTGCGGTTTTGTCGAGCTGTTATCACAGGTGGTGCACCAGGTCGCGAACGATCAGCAACACTTCCGGTAGCCCGACAACGTTGTCTCAGTCGACATACAGTGGATGGATGCACATTAAAGTGCCTGGCAATCATCACATCTGAAGCATCATGGCTGACCATACCGATAACCCGATTCCTTTTGTCTTGTGTCAAGTGTGGCATTTTCTCAAAGTGATTGAGTTCAACAATGCCTTGTGCTTTTACAGGGCCTGGGTGCAGGTAAAGCATGTGCACAACGTGTTTCATGAATGTGGTTGTGTTTACGAGAAATGTCAAAGGTTCAGTTTTAAGTATCAAAGTTCATGTGAGAGGAATGTTCCGGGACTCGAACTCGAAAGGACCAGAATAACAGCCTTTTATCCCTACATCCTCTGTATCGCAGGCAAAAATCTTGAATAGAACTTTTGTGAGTTTCAGGACAACAAATACCAATTGCTTTTTAATGGCTTACAGTATATATGACATACTAACAGACACTACAACTATTATTTCAAACCAGTTTGAACTAGACAAACCGGATTGTATGTTATTATTGCTGAGTAAATGCTTAATCTTCACACACCATTAAACAAATGAAAGAGAGAGATGCACACACGCACAGATACACACATACACATGCAAAGACACAAAGAGTCACACAGACACAAATACACATGCACAGACACAAACACAAGACACAGACACACATACACAAGACACAGACACTAACATACAAACAAGAAACAGACACAATCACAAACACAGACACAAACACACATACATAAGACACACCCACAAACACACATGCACAAGACAGAAAAAGATACACAAGACGCAGACACACATACACAAGACACAATTACAGGACACAAACACAAACATACAGACACAAGACACAGACACAATCATAAACACAAGCACAAACACACATGCCATGCACAAGACAGAAAAAACATACACAAGACACAGACACATATACACAAGACACAGACTCAAACATACATACATAAGACACAGACACAGACACAATCACAGACACAAACACAAGACACAAGGCATAGACACAAACACACAAACACAAGAGAAATACACAAGACACAGACACAAACGCACATGCACAAGTAACCCGAGTTCTAACCCTAACACATAGACCCAAGACAAAGACACAAGACACAGACACAGACACACAGACCCAAGACACAGACACAAGACACAGACACAAACACACAGACCCAAAACACAGACACAAACACACAGACCCAAGGCGCAGACGCAAACACACAGACACAAACACACAAGACACACACACACAAACACACAGACACAAACACACAGACCCAAGATACAGACACATTTCTTTGGACCTTCTGTCACTTCTCCTAGGCTTGTCCTGTCTTTTTCATGTTTTAAATGGATTACGAAATTAAACTGAACCAATGGAGAAGAAGCTGATTTCAACTGATTTCATCTGAAAACACTTCACATTAGTTTTCTAGAAAAAGAAACTTTTTTCATCAAATTTTGGATATTTATGCCTGCCATTTATTTATGGTCAAAGTGATGCCTTGTACATAAGAGACGAGAAGACAAAAGAAAAGTAAGAAAAAGGACATGATAGCGAAAAAGAACGAGAACACTATAAGGATGAAGAAAAAGTAACCACAGATTTGATGCGGGGCAAAAGCCGTCAAGTGATTGTTGCCACTGTGAAACATTTCATGGGAGCTTTGCAGTCCTTTTGTGATATTCGAAACTTAAATTCTGGAGCTGGGTAAATGTAACAACTATGACGTATACAAACTCCAATAGAACTCTGGATATACACATATATGCGCTTTGCTTCATTGTTTAAAACATTCCCATTGGTGATGCTGATGGATATGAGTAAAAATGTACTGTTGGCATGTAAAAATCTGATGTTTTTTCCAAGCGAATACTGATTTGTAAAATGAGGCAATTCGATTTAAAAATAAAAAAATAATCCCAGGATTCTATGTTCTTTTTCTTCCTTTTAAAATATTGTGATAAACTACAGGTTACGTTTTCCTTCCTTGGTGGACATTTTAGAAGTTGGGTTCATGAAGATACCTTTATGGGCTTGTGCTTGATACTGAAACGAAATTAGCTAGTCATGCACTCAGCGATACATTGATTTCATATTCTGTTTAAACATGTCCTATATACCTGCTTGGACATATTAAAACTTACTCGTCGAAGGCCTAAGGTTATCTTATTGCAACACGATGACTCATCAGCAGACAGGAGACACACAAATAGGGCCAGACAGGCTCTAATCTTGTGCATGCAATTTATCACTGAAAGGAACAGCAGAACACTGACAAATTTCGCTTTGAATTTCGAGATCAACACCAAGTTCATGTGCAGATCACGAAAGAGGCTTGTAATTGGCGAGTAGTATAGGGAATGGGGGTTCTGTGACAGGCCGATTAAAGAGCGTCATTATATATCTATTCCGCTTCCAGCCCCCAGTATAAATTAACGATTTCGAGCAGAGACACCATTCGATGCACATCCCAGACCCCTATAGGAGCCTTAACATCTGTAGGGTACCATGAGTTTCGGCAACCCCCGGGCGGGAACGAGGACTGCAATACGTCCCCAAGCCGCAGACGGTGCCGGATGCTAAGTTCCCAGTCATAGAATGGGGATTCTGTGACAGGCCGACTAAGAGTGTCATTATATACCAATTCCACTTCGAGCAGAGACACCATTCAATGCACAGCCCATGCACCTCTACGATTTCAAGCAGAGACACCATTCGATGCACAACCCATGCACCTCTACGTTTTCAAGCAGAGACACCATTCGATGTACAGCCCATGCACCTCTACGTTTTCGAGCAGAGACACCATTCGATGTACACCAAATCACCGCAGTTTTCTCCCCCAAGCATTCATAGAAGTCCTGGACGGGGAGCACAGTCGGCTCTGCAGCGGGCAATACGCTGCCGGCAGACGCCTCGCTAGTGGCTGCGTCTGTGCTGGGGGTCGACACTTTCCCTCCAGGGGCTGTATTCCATATTTTGGCGTGAGTCGATTGGAACCGATGCCGGAATCGTTGTCTCGTTTCTTGTGCTGGGACTTTTCCATGCATCTTGCGATCTCCTCCACTTGGTATTGTGATAGTTGTCTTTTGGAGGCATTTGGTTTTGCAGTATATCTACATTCATGAAAATATTGTCTATATATGGGAATCTAGACTACTGGGGTACACTAGACAGAACCTAGAAGTTTGTACTTTTTTGGGTTAGCATTTGCTAAGCATTGCTAAGCATTTGCTAAGCATTGCTAAGCATTTGTTAAGTATTGCTACATTGCTACATTTGCTAAGCATTGCTAAAGCATTTGCTAAGCATTGCTAAGCATTGCTAAGCATTTGCTAAGCATTGCTAAGCATTTGCTAAGCATTGCTAAGCATTTGCTAAGCATTGCTAAGCATTGCTAAGCATTTGATAAGCATTGCTAGGAGTTTCCTGGGAAAGGTTGGGATTCCTTTGGAGGATTGGGATTCCTGGGAGGATTGGGATTACTGGGAGAGGATTGCGGATTCCTGGAGAGGATTGGGATTCCCATATGGGCATATAGGAAGTATGGGTATATATATGCCTAGGAAAAACAACCATGCCACCAAAGGGTGATTTGCCGGATAAGATCCAAGAAATACGCTCCCTTCGAGGGGTGCTCCCAGCAAGCGAGCAGGTCGAAAAGCGCCGGTATTGGGTCCACAAGACTCTAATGATATATGGAGAGATCGGTCAAGAACCAGAAGTATCGCCAAGTTGTACAACCAACAAGTATCAAGTACGCGGTCGGCGAACCACAAAAAGGTGACTCGGGATAGATCGAAGTAACAATACCTGGTAGTACGCTAATAACCATCCAGGACTTCTACGATCGCCTGGGGAGTCTCTCGAGACTCGTGTGGAGCAAACCACGAATACATCATCATCGATTTGTTGGTTGACATCCTGTCGAGGTTGGACAAGATGATGACAATGACGAGAGTCCTGGAAGAAATAGAAGAGGAACAAGAAGACACACGTCTGGGTATCCAGAAGGTGCGGGAGATGGTAGAATCAGCCAAAGGGTTAACCTATGTTTCGATAGCTGCCGTATTACTCTGGAAGGTCATCCACAAGACCTGGAAGCATAGCAAAACCAGTTTCCCATAGCACTCACCCAAAACCCAAAACCCCATCCCTTCGCATGTAGTAACATTCATTTAGACATTTGATTTCTCAAGCAAAGGTATACAACATGTGGCCCGTGGGAACTTATTATTATTGCAAATGGGTATTGCTCGGCGACCAGCAACCTCGCGCCAAACGTTGTATGACTGAATATTGCCACTCCACATGCCCACTGTGTGAGAGGGTCAAAGGGTCATGTCAATTACGCAAGCAAAGCGGCATAGGGGTCAAGGACATTATGGGTATATGCAAGGACCATGGGAGGGACGTAATTCGAAACCAACTGCATTTACGATAAGAAGAAGAAAGACTACCTCCCAATGAGCGTAACCGGCTGCTCAGGACGAAAGTTTAAGGGGCGATTCATATTTTTGAAGGCTGACGGGATTATCTGCACATTGAAAACGCCCTATTAGACATGTGGCTCCGCGTATGGTATACACCATGACTACTGTCGTCAAACTCAAAGCTCGCCAAAAAGTTGTGGACTGACAGGTTATTCCCGCCTGAGGAAACCCCAACTGCTCACCTTTGCTCAAATGAAATATACCAGCTCCCTACCATGCGAGACCTCCAAACTCCGAGGCTAAAGAACGGGGATTGAAGGGTTATTCTCAAGCATGAGAAGAGCCAAGCTGATCACGCTGGAAGACACCAGGCCAGTCGAAGTTGAGATTCGTGCCAACGAGCACTGCGCCCGTGGGTAAGTATCTCGGGTTGGATAATGGCGGTTGATTCCAATATTGATACCAGTACAGTCAAACCCCCATTGCTAGTAAACTCCGCGAAGAACTAGGCGACTTGAAAAGCATCAAGTACCAACTAACGATGAAAATGGAGCTCCAAAAGCAGAATACGGACGGTAAGCTGAGCACGCTGCACCCTATTTCAGAGGTAAACAGGAAGCCCTAACCCAACTTGAATTGATTGAATCCTTCCATCGACGCGTCGTTGCAGAAAATACAAGAGTCGTTGGAGAGATATACCCACCTGGGCTCTGGATGGGTGGTAGAGCAAAATCAACTTACCGCTTATCTCGACATGCCCGAACTACATGCCTCAAAGGTGGGTCGCGATATCGCGTGCCCAAGCATTTCAAGGCTAAAAAGGCCCTCAGTTAACCCCAAACCCAAGGCGATGATGTTACCGATCTTGCGTATGGTGGCGGTCATAGCTGCTACGCATGAACCAACGGGCAATCGGGCATATGTTCCAGCTATCCATCGATCGAAGAATCCGGGTTCGAGGCTTCACGGGTGTAGTGAACGCTTAACACCCATCTCCTCACTGAGCAATTAAACAGAAACAAGGTGGCCGTCAACGTGTTGACCACGGCGACAAAACCATCGTGCATAGGATAAGCCTGTGGGTGATAAAAGCCATGTGAACCAATATATTCCTCATCGAAAAAGACGGCCGAGTATCATACACGGCAATAAAAATCTGGAGCCGACTGTTGCACGATCAATCGATGCACAGAGAAAAGAAACACTTCTGCGAACGATGTCTGCACGGTTTTACGCGAGCCGACCTGCTGCAAGCGCACCAGGGGATTGCCTAGGTGTAGGAGAGACGGCGATCCGAATTGACACATGCCTAAGGAAGGCGACAGCATCTTGAAAGTCACCAACCCTACAAACATCAGATGCCCGGTAGCGCTTACATGATCTATGCGGGCTTGAAGCCTCATCAAAAACGGGTTCGACTACGACGTGCCCAACACTGAGCAAAGTTTACGTGCAAAGACCCAAGAACCGCAAGCCTGCAGGTTCGGGTACGTGGTCGTCCGATGATGGACAAACGAATGCTCCAGTCATCTACCGAGGTCCTAGCTAACGAGCGATTCCTGATGTGGCAACAGGAAGAGAAAATCATAAGGAAAAAGGCTGTACACCGCTGCCCCCATACGCGATGGCGCACGAAGGACCAAGTCGGCCACTGCCGCAAGCGCTGAGAATTGCCATATATGTCAGGGGCGCTGAATGGGGATGTTGTGAGATCACTGCCACATCACCGGCCGGTACCGAGGTGCCGCCCATAGCGCGTGCAATCCTCCAGCTTAGAATCAACCCTAAAACAATCAACATCCCCTTGGTCTTCCACAATCAGAGGTACGATGCCCACCCATGATCATGCAGGCCATCTCAAAGGTCGACGGTGATATCAAGTGCATCCCCAACAACATGGAAAAATACATCTCATTCTCCTCCAACGGTCTGAGATTCATTGACAGCGCTCAGTTCCTCCTATCATCGCTCGATAGTTTGGTCAAAAGCCAATGACGCCTTCCCCATCACTGATCGATACACCAATGCCGAGACTCGGCCCCTGCTGATGATGAAGGGTGTACCCATACGAGTACATGGATGATTGGCCTAAGTTTGATGAGACCCGATTACCTCCATCGGCCAATTTTACAGTAGCCTGACCGAATCCCACATATCTCCCAGGATGATTACGTCCACGCGCAGAACGTGTGGGAGAAACTGGGATGTAGAATCTGGGTGACTACCGCGACCTGTGCCGAGCGGACGTGCTCCTGCTAACGATGTGTTTGAGACGTTTAGGAGGACGTGTTTGAAACAGTATCAACTCGTGACCCTGCATGGTACTACACCAGCCCCGGTCTATCGTGGGATGCGCTGCTGAAGAAAACCGGAGTTAAGCTGGGTTGCTCACGGATGCTGACATGCACCTGTTCATTGAAAAGTTGCGGTGGGATCTCCATGGCTGCCAAAGCGGTGCGCAGAGCCAACAATAAGTACGTGGAAAGGCTACGACTCTACGCAAAGCCCGCAATCATCTCCTCTACCTCGACGCCAACAACCCGTACCGGCTGGGCTATGAGTCAGTCTCTGCCTACGAGGTGGGTTTGAGTGGTTGGACGATGAGATCGATATCACGAGTATCGCGCGCCGGATTCGGGAAGGGTTACATCCTCGAAGTGGATCTGGAGTATCCAGGGCGTTGCACGCTGCTCACAACAGCTACCCGCTGGCCCTTGAACGGTTGATGGTCTGCTGAGGGACTGGATGTCCGACTATCAGCGGGACTTGTTGGGTGAGAACACCCTGGCTCGGGTGGAAAACTCGTCCGAACTTGATGAACAAGACCAAGTATGTCGTGCACTATCGCAACCTGCAGCTGTACCTATCGTTGGGTATGAAACTGACCAAAATTCATAGGGTGCTGAAGTTTGACCAAAGTCCTTGGATGGAGCCCTACATCAGAATGAACACGGACCTGCGAAAAGCTGGCCACCAGTGACTTCGAGAAGAACTTGTATAAGCTCATGAACAACTCGGTGTTTGGTAAAGGCGATGGAGAGACCTGGAAAAACGGGTGGCGGTCAAACTCGTCTGATCGCAGCAGGAGGAAAAACTCAGAAACTGATCGTCGGCTAGCCCGACCTTCCCAACGAAGCAAGCTTATTCGATAACGACTTGGCGGTAGCTGCATGAACAAAAGTCACATCAAAAGCTCAACCGACCCGTCTACGTGGGGATGAGCATTCTCGACCTGTCCGTCCAAACATCTCATGTATGATTTCTACTACAACCGGCTCAAAAGCATCGGTGATCGATGTGGGCTGCTGTACTGCGGACACAGATTCCTTGTTGCTAGATATACACACCGAGGATGTGTGAGGGACATGGCAAAACACATACACCTGTCGCGACGCAGCGATTGCCCCAAGGACCATGCCCTACACAACACGATCAACAAAAGGTCCTTGGCAAGATGAAGGACGAATGCGCGGGCACCCATCGCCGAATACGTCGGCTTGAGGCCTAAGATGTACTCCATCTTGAAAGCTGACAAGGGTTAGATCCGAAAGGCAAAAGGGGTCAAGAAATACGTGGTGAAACAACACATCAAGCACGTCCTCTTCAAACAAGCTCTGTTCAAGAATAAGACGTTCAAACACCGAATGAACGCGTTGAGAAGCGACAAACACAACATCTACGGCATCACCCTCAACAAGACGTCGCTGTCGCCCATGGACACCAAACGGTGGATCGCCGCCGACGGCGTCACGACTTACGCGTACGGGCAGACGCTCATAGTGGTTGGCCTGGGCTGTGCATCGAATGGTGTCTCTGCTCGAAGTGGAATTGGTATATAATGACACTCTTAGTCGGCCTGTCACAGAATCCCATTCTGTGACTGGGAACTTAGCATCCGGCACCGTCTGCGGCTTGGGGACGTATTGCAGTCCTCGTTCCCGCCCGTACAGATGTTAAGGCTCCTATAGGGGTCTGGGATGTGCATCGAATGGTGTCTCTGCTCGAAATCGTTAATTTATACTGGGGGCTGGAAGCGGAATAGATATATAATGACGCTCTTAATCGGCCTGTCACAGAACCCCCATTCCCTATACTACTTGGCGTGTTTGCACGACAACTTTTAACACGTGGGAGTGGACTAATCTTTTTCGAAGAAGATAGCCATGCACTAGCCAATGTATCGATGTCAGATGTGTTAAACTATGTCTTAGTTCGTGATTGTGTTTGCGGGATTGGTTTCACATCACTATTAGCATCTAAGTAGCTATTCTGACATGAGTGAGTGAGTGTAGCTTTTAGCAATATTATAGCAACATCACGGTGGGGAACACCGGAAATGGGCTTTACAAATTGTGCCCATGTGGGGAATCTTTGACAGGAGACACAAAGAACGGGTACTTATTTGTTTCAGTTTTGGGGATCAAACCCCAGACCAACGTTCAAGTTTCAACAAGGTACCAAGTGTACCAGAAAACTTGCTCTTCATTAAACACGATTACGCGAGTAGTAATTGTTTATCTATCTATCTGTAACCTCTTAACAATGCTTGTACATGAGTTGTTAATCACTACCTGAGTGTGTTAGTTTCTGCGACCAAATAAACATAGACGCATTAAGACGCATCTATCACTGTCTCCGACTTGTTAAGCTATAAACTCTTAAATCATGCAAGATTATGGCTTGATAAAAAAATCGTCATATTAGCAACTTAATAATGAAACCCGTGTCATGCCGACAATATCTTTTGCGCATCTTTTTTTGTAATCTTTTGCTTAGTTTCTACATTCAGATTTCGGGCTAGTGAACTATTTTATTGACTAGTAGCTTTCAAGCATAGCTAGCCCGACTCGCTAGCAAAATGTTTAACTATTTCGAACACTAAAAGAATTGAATAGCACTTATTCCGTAACTAAACTATGCGAGGTAGCGATACGTCTTGCTGGCAGATAATCTCACAGCTGGGACCCAGCAGGCACATCAACGTTGTTTCAACGTTGAGAATAGGTTGGTCCTCAACGTTAAAATTAGATTGAAAATAGGTTGTATATGAAAGTTGTTTAGACGTGATATCTGACGTGGAATCAACGTTGAGGTTTGACATATTATTAAAGTTGAAAATGGGTTGTTCCGCGGTTGTGTCTGGGAGGTATTACGCTTTCCTGTAAACAGACTCGCACTTCATCTTTAAACTACACTAAAGTAGCACCGAACTCATGCATCCAGCTAAAATACCCCAAAAGCTACCTGCAATAAACAGTGTTCAAACAGAAAATTGCAGTAAAAAAAATTAACCTGATAAAATACTTGGTTAAAATTCCACATTCAATATAATGTTCATTTAAGTTTTATGTCAGTTGGACGTATAATTCCAGTAAGAAGAAAAGAGTATTCCAAATTGAGAAAAACTATTTACTGTTGTATTGTTGACTTGAAAAGGTGGAATTGGTCCCGAGAAGACATTTTGTCTGAATTTCAGCTATTAAACATACCCCTGAATAACCAAATGCAATTACTTTCACCATTTCAGCGCCTCTTCTTTCTGCCAGTCCCTGCTTGGCGGTCTGGTGGATACTTCAGAAACGTTCCTAACTCTTTCTTGAAATTTGCTTCGGATGCATTCCCATCTCATTCCCATGAGATAGGACACATTCTGAAATTTTATGTTTAAATACATGAATAATTTATATGGAAGATATATTGTCTTAAATGATTCAAGTATTTGTTTAATCAATCACTTGAAAGGTTCATTTCACTGCTGTAACTTGGCATGTGAACATATGAACAGCATCCATACAAAATATGACGAAAAGTGTAAACAATTTATATTTCAATAGTTTTCTTAAACATTTTCAAAGAAAATCCTCAATTGCAAGTTGATTATTCAAACAGACTATGAATTAGGATGAATTAGACGATGCTTTACTGTCATATATTATTTGCTATGATCATGATGAAAATGCTGCATTTGGTAATTAACTTACCAGAGATAATTGAATACAACCTTGTATTCTTAAAAGAAAACTTGCAGTTTTGCCCATCAACATTCATTCTTGACATCAAATTGTTTGACATTGTCCTGCAAAACAATGGAAGATTGTTGTTATTCTGTCAGTTTTAGTTTTCTTTAGCGATTCTCGGAAACGATTATTTTCAAATTAAATAGGAGTTGTACTGATGTAGCAATTTTGCTAACAGGAGTCATAAATTGTAATAAAAGCCATTTAACATTAAATGATAAGAAAACAAAATGTGTGGTGGTTCACAGGTCGAAGAACAAGTCTATTGTGGGAGGTCTTCCAACACCATTTGTTCCAAAACACAAGGAAGTATGGATCATGGAGTTCTGAAAAAGACTTAAATGTACTCGTAAACAAACATCAGTGGACACATGTAAATTCTTGGAAACAGTGTATCTCTGACTCTCAATTCCAAGAAATGGAAGTCCTACTCTATTTGACCAAAGGGGTGACAGGTGGCCAAAACATATTGAAATGTAGGTCATACACTGAAAATTACTCTGACTTAAAACACTACAAATATACACCTTCTCTCTAATATACTCGATAGATGATCTTGACAAGGGAACATGTACATAAAATGCTGATATCTAACGATACCTGTACTCTAAATAATGGACTCTTCCAAATCTCAGTATGTTTCACTGCACACACATTTACCCGGTAAATGCAAAATAATGAAAAACCTACACTTTGACAATAATAAAAAAACCATCATATTCAAATTCTACAGCTGACCAAATACCTGAAGAGTGTGTCTCCCAGCAAAAACCATCTATATATCTCTATAAATTTATGACTTCTGTCCTCTCGCGTGCTATCTCGCATCCAGCTCTTTACGACGAAAAACAATATGGCGCCAAGCAAGGGAATGCTCATTAAACTAAACATCTCCGGGAGAAATCATTGTCAAATTATTCTCTTACATGATCAACCTTAATATATAAATGAAAATAAAGACCAACTTTTATCACCAAAAAAGACCAAACATTATCACAAATATTCAAAACAGGTGGTACAATGAAAGAGCATTATCATCTTTCTCTTAAACTTTGTGGTGGATATACTGGAAACAAGTGAAATGTGAAAAACTTGTTACCTTAGCCTTGCTCCTTTTATGTGATCCACAAAATTGCTGCCACCCAGTCTTCCAAGATGAGATTTCTGCAAATTCCATTAAAATTATATCTTATTTCATAATTAAATGTTCCTTACTAAATTACTTCTTTTGTATGTAACATTTTAACCTTTCAGAGACATGAATCATCACATCCCTTCCAAACAAGTGTAAGAATGAAAGTCTGTGGGTGCAGTTTTGTTAATTGTCCCATCAAAGAATCATTAGTGAAGTTACACATTTTGTAAATAAATAAAAGTTCGAATAAATTATATTCAATTTCATCCTTAACAAAGACTTTCACAAGACATTATGATGTGAATTTTCGTCGCATCATCTGAGAAAGATTTCCTTTCAGCCATTCTCCTCCCCATCCTACCCTCCCCCAAAATAATATACATATGTTGACAGGGTTCAGAGCGTGCTCAATGCATAATTTACTGATAGATCTATTCAAACGAACAAATGCTCATAATAATTTGATATAAAATGTTGATAAATTCTATTCGAATTTGTATAGCTGCCCATAGGGACCGTTCATAATGTATGGCTTGGGGGTGATGATGATTTTTATGGAGAAGCATGGAGAATGTGAATTACCTCCCCCTCCCTCCCCGTAAGGTGTGTGTACAAAATAAGTGACGCCCCACCCTGCATGTCAGGTACAATATCTATGACGCCCTCTCTCTTCCCATAATTCTAAGCATCATATTAAACATAGTGCGTGTGTACAAAATGCTGACCCCTTTAGCTCCCTGAAGAAAATGGGTGAAACACCCCACCACCCCACCACCCCTCACCACCCCCACTCCCTACAATCATAACCCCCACCCCCAACAATATAATTATGAACAGTCCCTTGATGTACTTCATTGATTATTTGAAAATGTATATTTGCAAAATTCACATGGTGATGGGTACGAAAGGAAATCTTATTCGATTATATAATAAAATGCCAAATATATATATGCAAATATATTGAAAAATAACAAAACAAGTTCATGGAAACACGGGCTTCCACTAAATTTTGAGAAACATGTACGTGACATAACGGTAACCTTGTGAGATAAAACATGAGCCCTAATTCGGAGTTTCTTGCTACATTGACCTGCTAGATTTAAACAACATTCCTACGTTTTCATTATACATGAAGGACATACTTACCAAATAAACACCAGCATGCCGTCAAGATGTTGAAAATAAAACGATATTGCGTTGAACCTCACCAAAGTGAACTGACAACGATCAGCTGCCTTTGCGCGCGATAATTGTGCGCATGTCCGGACATGGCCAAACGAGGCGATCGAAAGGTCAACATCTGGCATGTGTTTGAAAGCAAATTGTCGGGAATTATACAATTTTGACAGTGTAATCAAATATCAAATGTAATGCAATTCGGATAACTGATGACTTTATACCTAAAATCATTGATGTTTTCATTTTCAATTGCGATTTACGTAATATTTCCGTCTGTTGATCGATGCACAATCAAACATTATATAAGATTATATATGTCACCAACTCGATCTTGATCTTTTATGAAATCAATGTTCCGAAATGATAGTTGCTAAGTTGGATACCTATTACCAATATGAATTATGTATCAAATTTGCCAAGGAAACAATTAGTTGACGTTTCGTTGGTTCCTTACGTTGGAACAACGTTGACAACTAAACGAATCTCGACTAACTTTCTTTGGTCGCATGATAAACGTTGAATCAATGTTTATGAAAGGTTGATCAACCAAACAACAAAAATTCAACGTTGATTAAACGTTGACTCAACGTTGTGTGCCCGCTGGGGAGTTCATGTTTGGACCTGTAAAGATCCAGGTTAGAATTGATGTACAGTAACCCATGCTTGTAATAAAAGGCAACGAGGTTGATCGGCTGGTCAGGCTCGCTGGCTTGATTGACACATGTCACGTATCCAAATACAAATGCTTCTGAATTTTCTGACCCAGACCTCCGCCATATTGCTTAATGCGGCGTTATACAAAGAAAAAACACAGATCATTTTGTGATAAGAAAAATGTGTATCTGTGTATATTATAGATTATATATGTGTGTGTGTGTGTTTGTGTGTATTTGCGACACATGTGTGGTCAGCCGGCAGTATCCCGCACCTCATCCACAATGTCATGCTTTCAGTGGCCAACCGGCCTTTGTCTAAATGTGATTATATGCAGCTTTATAACTTTGATGGTGGCCATAATGACAATGGTCAAGCTGCGTTGATTTCATTTCTATTGACAGCATGGTCATTATTTGGTTGTACGTTATCTGCACTGAAAAGAATGAAACGCAAGGAAAGCAAAACAAACATAAGCAAATACGTTCATAAACACACACGCGCGCGCTCGCACACACACACATACACAGATATAACATTTATATGTATATGTATGTATATATATATGCACTTGTGCCTCAATAAAAAGCAATATATAGAAGGTAGATATTACAAATAAATGCAATCAATACAACTTCACGGCTGTTTTTTTAAAATAGTTTACAAACAAAATTCCTCTTAACACAACATTTTTTGTTGATAACATAGACGTTTAAAAATGAGACGTAACTTGAGTCCAGTCTAACATGACTGTGTCTATCTTGTACCTGTTGTATCCGTTACCTGGCAATGGCGTCACGTGCTGTTATCAGCTCGGTGCTTTCCCTTACCTACATCATACCGCGATAAGATGTGGAGTGTAAGTGACATTTGTTTTACGCCGATATAATAAAGAATTTATTACAACTAAATCGAGATATCAAAACCAGAGCAATGGGATAAAATTATATGCAGTCACCGAGCTTGACCATCAAGTTATGTTACGGTGTGACTTAAACGGTGTGTGTGTGTGTGTGGGGAGAGAGGAGAGAGAGAGAGAGAGAGAGAGAGAGAGAGAGAGAGAGAGAGAGAGAGAGAGAGAGAGAGAGAGAGAGAGAGAGAGAGAGAGAGAGAGACAGAGAGAGAGAGAGAGAGGAGAGACAGAGACAGAGAGAGAGAGAGAGAGAGAGAGAGAGAGAGAGAGAGAGAGAGAGAGAGAGAGATGCACACACAGAGAGAGACAATCCTGAGAGAGAGAGACACAGGCAGGCACTCAGACACACAGGCACATACACAAGTACATACATACACGGCCAAGGTATTTCTGGCACACCAGCTTGTACATTTTTCAACACATACAACTGAACAGTGATATCTCGCCACTGTAACTTTAGCTGTCTACTTAAGCTGAATCGAAAGTACAGCTTTGTTTCTTGGAACCCGACTTCAATCGACACTATCTTTTCATTGCCACTTACCGTCTCCAGACATGGGTTCAATTACTTTGAAATGTAATTAATCAAATTACAATTACTTTGATTTTCCTCAATTACAATTGCAATTACAATTACACCCTAATTTAAAATGTAATGAATTAAATTACAATTACATTACCAATGTAATTAATTATATTAAAAATTACTTTGTAAAAGAGCACAACAAAAACAAAACAAATACATTTCTGTATTCCTTTAATCAACAAGAGATAGATGTTGGTAAACAGTGGTCACTAAATCTAATTCACATTTTTGTCATCAAAAAGTGAAATGCAAAATTAGATTATATCTATAATGTACACTATTTGATCAGATTTGTTTTTGGCATATTTCTTTGGGCTTATTATCAAATACACACCTCTATCATTACTTGTTGCAAAAAACACTTTGTCCACCACTGTTACCTAAGGTATACTGTATCATGACTCATCATTACAGGTCTATATTAAAATATAAATTCCACCGGTCTCTCTATCTGACATAGTCCACATTAACATACCAAAGGATTTGTCAACTTAGATTTATGGCTCATTACATTTCATGATTATAAAAATCATGTTCAGTAAGATTTTGAATATCGTATCCTATGAGAAATAAACAAAGAGGCCATTTTGATAGGAACTTGACTAATAGTACAGTTAATCCCCCATTTCCTCAAATACTAACCTACATTGCTCTACTGATTCCCTTTGTTTCACAAATGGTGATAGTTAAAAAGGCTTAGACATTCAAGTTTCTTTCAAAACTTAACACCTGCTAGAGTGTACACCGACAACAAGCATTTTATTGAAAAACACTGCTTTGTCCTCCTTATTGTACAGAACATAATTGCAAGGGTTGCCTGATGACCACCAAAATATATAAAGTCAGATGTAATATGATGTAATTGAAAAAGTAATTGAAAAATTCAATTACATTGAGATGTTAATTAGATAAATTACAATTACAAATTACATTTTGAACATTCACTTACAAATTACATGCAATTACATAGATTTTTGTAATTAATTACATTCAAGTACAATTACAAATTACAATTACCCCTATTTGAAGTGTTGTGGAATACTAATTGGTGATGTGAGTGCAAAACAAGAATCGTCATCAATCGAACAGAAACAAGCTACTCAGGCTGCTTTGTTCGGGAAAATCCACCTTGATCCCTGTAGATATCGAGTTGGAGCCACAAGCAACGTGTTTTCAAGAATGTCTGGTATAAGAGTGAAGGATACAACCCTACGACAGTTTACGTTGCTCCGTCCCAGAACCCTGCAAAGAAAGGGAATAAATTCCTCGGCAAGCTTCCCGGAAAACCATCCACACAACGATCACAAAGTAAGCAACTACAGCTGGTAAGGGTTTTGTGTATACCATTGATATGAAGAAGACAGAGATGCTGATATGTGACCTGGAGCTTTTTGTGACTGTGTGCCATTTCTTTGAATCATAGGACTCTTTGTGACATATATGTTCTGGACTTATGTTTTCTATGCTGAAACGGATTTAGAACTGAAACCGATTTCAACTGATTTCACCTGAATGTGTTTCACACTGATTTTCTAGAAAAATGATTTTTTTCATCATATTTTGGGTACTTAAGTCGGTCAATACAGTATACTGTTGCTTTTTGCATAGCACTGAGACCACTATGTTAAGGAGCATGATAAGGAACTGAACCAATGAACCAATTTCAACTGATTTCACCTGAATGTGCTGCAAATTAGTGTTCTATAAAAGAAGAGATTTTTTCATCAAATTTTGGATGCTTATGCCAATACAGTGACTGTTGATTTGTTTCTCACAGCGTTGATACGTCTATGTTATAGAGTATGCATTGAGCTAATTATTGATTATGTTCATTTCACGTGTCGTTACCAGCAAATGGTAAAAAATATGCACATAATTAATTAAATACCGCCCCAGTGGTAATAGCGTGTTCTTTGTTCCCCAACTACAGTCAAATCCCGATGAGTCGAATGCCAGTGTCTCGAATATTATGCATAACTCGAAGTACCTGTCGGTCCCGACCATTCCCTGTTATAGTTGTCATCATTTGAATACCGGTTACACGAATTCGTCTCATAAATACACACGATGACTCGAGGGAAATTTGGTTCTATGAGATTCAAACAACAGCAATTTTGTATACATAAGCCGAAGTCAGTCAATGAGAAGTTGATTGGTGTAGTAAACTGATCCAATTAACAAACCAGCGCGGCTCACACCTTTCCGCCATTGACGGACTGGATCATCTTTTTTTCTACCCACATAGACATACCTATGTCTCGAATACATCAATAAGTCGAATTTATTACTTGGTCCCCAGCGATTCGACTCATCGGGATTTGACTGTATATCCAACGCACAATTTATCCATTTTTAATGTTGGGAAACTGATCTTCTTTAAATCATTACCTGCTACCAATTTACAGCATTGATACTTCTATGTTATAGAATATGCACTGCGCTAATTATTGATTATGTTCAGTTCACGTGTCGTTAGCAGTGAATGGTAAAAAAATATGCACATAATTAATTAAATACTCTCCCAGTGATATTAGCGTGTCCTTTGTTGCCCAACCATATCCAGCGCATAATTTATCCTTTTACAATGTTGGGAAACTGATCTTCTTTAAATCATTAACTGCTACCAATTTACAGCGATTGTGAATGTAATCCATGCTTAAATTCACTTTGCCTTTAAAATAGTTTTCGTTCATCTTTGATGCATATGCATTTAGTAAACATGAAACTTTGATGGAGCATAACATCCAGGTTGACTATCATCTGAAACATATTCCATTTCATGTAAAGGGAAAACATCTCAGGGAATTATATGAAAGGACCAGAGAACATTCAGTGATCACACGAGGTGTACGTCGATCATATTACACGTATCTAGACTTTATACACCACATATCTGTACTATCGATGACTAGGTAATGTATACGAAACATAAGTTCGGGACTAACACTTAAAATTAAAACTGCACACAGGAGAGAAGACATTAGAACTACAAAGAGGAGAAAAATATTAGAAATTTACATCGGAGAGAAAACATTAGAACTGCACACAGGAGAGAAAGCCTTAGAACTGCACGCTGTAGAGAAAGTATCAGAACTGCACACAGGAGAGAAAGCATTAGAACTGCACACAGGAGAGAAAGCATTAGAACTGCACACAGGAGAGAAAGCATTAAAACTGCACGCAGGAGAGAAAGCATTAGAACCTCACACAGGAGAGAAAGCATTAAAACTGTGCGTATTAGAGAAAGCATTAAAACTGCACGCATGAGAGAAAGCATTAAAACTGCACACAGGAGAGAAAGCATTAGAACTGCACACAGGAGAGAAAGCATTAAAACTGCACACAGGAGAGAAAGCATTAGAACTGCACACAGGAGAGAAAGCATTAAAACTGTGCGTATTAGAGAAAGCATTAAAACTGCACGCAGGAGAGAAAGCATTAGAACCTCACACAGGAGAGAAAGCATTAAAACTGTGCTATTAGAGAAAGCATTAAAACTGTGCGTATTAAAGAAAGCCTTAGAACTGCACGCAGTAGACAAAGCATTAGAACATCACACAGGAGAGAAAGCATTAAAACTGTGGTTATTAGAGAGACCATTAAAACTGCACACAGGAGAGAAAGCATTAGAACTGCACACAGGAGAGAAAGCATTAGAACTGCACACAGGAGAGAAAGCATTAAAACTGCACACAAGTGAGAAAGCATTAGAACTGCACACAGGAGAGAAAGCATTAAAACTGTGCGTATTAGAGAAACCATTAAAACTGCACGCAGGAGAGAAAGCATTAAAACTGCACACAGGAGAGAAAGCATGAAAACTGCGTGTATTAGAGAAAACATTAGAACTGCACGCAGGAGAGAAAGCATTAGAACCTCACACAGGAGAGAAAGCATTAAAACTGTGCGTATTAGAGAAAGCATTAAAACTGTGCGTATTAAAGAAAGCCTTAGAACTGCACGCAGTAGACAAAGCATTAGAACATCACACAGGAGAGAAAGCATTAAAACTGTGCGTATTAGAGAGACCATTAAAACTGCACGCAGGAGAGAAAGCATTAGAACATCACACAGGAGAGAAAGCATTAAAACTGCACGCAGGAGAGAAAGCATTAGAACTGCACACAGGAGAGAAAGCATTAAAACTGTGCGTATTAGAGAAAGCATTAAAACTGCACGCAGGAGAGAAAGCATTAGAACTGCACACAGGAGAGAAAGCATTAAAACTGTACGTATTAGAGAAACCATTAAAACTGCACGCAGGAGAGAAAGCATTAGAACTGCACACAGGAGAGAAAGCATTAGAACTGCACACAGGAGAGAAAGCATTAAAACTGTGCGTATTAGAGAAAGCATTAAAACTGCACGCAGGAGAGAAAGCATTAGAACTGCACACAGGAGAGAAAGCATTAAAACTGTACGTATTAGAGAAACCATTAAAACTGCACGCAGGAGAGAAAGCATTAGAACTGCACACAGGAGAGAAAGCATTAGAACTGCACACAGGAGAGAAAGCATTAAAACTGTGCGTATTAGAGAAAGCATTAAAACTGCACGCATGAGAGAAAGCATTAGAACTGCACACAGGAGAGAAAGCATTAAAACTGTACGTATTAGAGAAACCATTAAAACTGCACGCAGGAGAGAAAGCATTAAAACTGCACGCAGGAGAGAAAGCATTAGAACTGCACACAGGAGAGAAAGCATTAAAACTGTGCGTATTAGAGAAAGCATTAAAACTGCACGCAGGAGAGAAAGCATTAGAACTGCACACAGGAGAGAAAGCATTAAAACTGTACGTATTAGAGAAACCATTAAAACTGCACGCAGGAGAGAAAGTATTAGAACCTCACACAGGAGAGAAAGCATTAAAACTGTGGTTATTAGAGAGACCATTAAAACTGCACGCAGGAGAGAAAGCATTAGAACTGCACACAGGAGAGAAAGCATGAAAACTGCGCGTATTAGAGAAAACATTAGAACTGCACGCAGGAGAGAAAGCATTAAAACCTCACACAGAAGAGAAAGCATTAACACTGTGCGTATTAGAAAAACATTAAAACTGTGCGTATTAGAGAAAGCCTTAGAACTGCACGCAGTAGAGAAAGCATTTTAGAACCTCACACAGGAGAGAAAGTATTAAAACTGCACGCAGGAGAGAAAACATTAGAACTGTACACAGTAAAGAAAATATTAGAACTGCACACAGAGTGTAACATGGAAATACAGTTTATATATACTGGACATTGAAAACGCACCACCTGTAAATTTTGAAATATGGTAATAGAATTGTTTTGAGAGTGAAATTGAACGTTGGAAATGTTGTTAATAACACAAAAGACAATAAATAATGCTGTACAGTAAAGAACAGATTGCCCGAACACATCATAGAACATATCACATGACAACAACAAAATTCATGCACAAACTGCACGAAAAGCACAAATTGCATGCGTAAAACATGTTGATTAGGGGTATAAATGACCGTCGGTAAAAAACCGTTCTCATTTTAGCTGCACCTCCGCATGTAAAGTTCATTTTGCAATGCCAAGATTGTCACCAGAGAAACGAGAGCGGGCGTTTGGCATGTTGCAGGCTGGCACATCAAGCAGGATTATTGCCAGACGATTTGGTTGCCATCATTCCACCATCATAAGACTTGCCAACAGGTACCAACAATCAGGAATCACCAGGGACCGCCAACGTCCTGGCCAGGCACGTGTTACCACCCCTCGCCAAGATCGAGACATTGTTCGGCGCCATATTCGGGATCGTACGTTGCCGGCTGCCAGAACCGCCAACGCTGTCCAAGGCCGACGTGGTTTTGATCAGTGCTTCCACCGTCCGACGCCGTCCCGTGCGGCAGGGATTACGGTGTCGACGCCCTTATGTTGGACCCATCCTGACTGATAGACATCGCCGTGAACGCCGACGATGGGCTGAACACCATCGTTTGTGGTTGTTACGACGTTGGCATGGTGTTATGTTCTCCGACGAGTCACGTTTTCACTTGCGAAATGTTGACGGGCGTCGGGTATGGTATGGCGTCGATGGGGAGAACGTTACCATCAGGTCTGTGCCAGCAAACAGATCGGTGGGTTGGCGGCAGCATTAGGGGAGGTTATCAATTATCATCACAAAACCCGCTCTGGTAGTTTGTCGCCGCAGAATTAATGCCCTTTACTACCGTGACACCATTCTTCAGAACAACGTCGTTCCCTTCTTTAACCAACATCAAGATCTGCACACATTCCAGCAGGACAATGCTCGAGCGCACACTGCACGTGTTGCAACACAGTTTCTGGCAAGCAACAACATTCCTCTATTTCCATGGCCTGCATCGTCACCAGATTTGTCTCCAATTGAACACTTGTGGGATTACATGGGCCAACGCCTCTCATGTCGCCCGCAGATCAACAACCTTGGGGAACTTGAGAATGCCTTGCAACAAGAGTGGAAT